TATGGTCTGAGGATAACTTCGTATCGTACTTTAAACTCAACTAAATGTCATTCACTCTAAATACATATTAAAGCGCAAAATTATAAAATCAGTGCGTGGCGAGGGAATGACGCTAAAAGCTGTAGACTCTTTTTCAACTAAAGAAAATCAAATTATTGTTTATTGAAACCGCAAAATATTAATAGAATTTGGTGTAATATACATTTAAATAGATTATTCGTTAATTAAAACAAAGGATAAAGTTGATGTTTTTATAAATGTGGGTCCCAAAACACAAACTTTTGGAGTACGGACATGCCTAGGGAATGACGTTTTGGGTCATTCAAAAGGAATTTAAGATGTTTTAAAAATAGTTTCAAAAAATATAAATGGGTGATGAATAAAGCACATTGCGAGCTGTTATTTAACAATTTTGGAATAAAATATTAACAAATATTTCATGTGAAATGTGGCGCGGACTAAGAGTTGACATATTTTTGTGGAATGACCCATACATATAATCAAAGGTTTTCAAATATTTATCTTTTTATTTGACTAAAAATTAAGTTTACGTGACAATAGATAGCAAAGGTAGCCATAGAAAATGTATTTTAACAAAAAAATAATGTTAATCAGATTTTTATTCTAAAGACGAATTTAAAGATAGAGTAAATCTAAATTAAAAAAGTTTTATTCTTAAGAATAATAATATGGCGTTTCAAACAATAGTCTGATGAAGTGAGTGTCTCTCTCCGAAAAGCGGGACCGAGCCTGTCCCACGCGGGACATTTAAATTTGATTTAAAAATCGGGACGTCTGGCAACGCTGGTTATGGTAAACCTCTCAGAAAGGTATAAATCGTGTTATCATTAATTGGCATCAAACTCATTAGAATAACATTACCAAGGCAGGCAGGTAGGCCTACTTACTCGTAGGTATAATACCTACCTATCCATCGGATAAATTACGTTCTTTTTATTTTTTGCCCTCGGTAGGTCCTAAATTCCTAATGCAAGTTATTAAGTAGGCCTAAAGCCTAAAGTTTGATACCATGTTACTTTTCTGCTCGAAATAATTAAGTGGGTAAATCATTAATTAACTGTAATTTAACTTGTGCCCTTTATCTTTCAATGTTAAACTAAACCCTACTTGAATCGGTTACGGTCATTTACTGCGGGTAATGTCGACGCAAAATCATCGTTATGACACTTTATTGTTATTGTTTTAACAATGAGTTAGTGTGTCGAAAGCAAGCTACGATAATTCACGCCCGTCCAATAAATTACCATCTCAATAGTTTGCAGTTTACACGTCAAAATCTTACTTAGTTCTATTTTTGTTGCTAAAAGATAACCTACAAAATAATGTAGGAATCCTAACAAGGTCGGTAATCACTCGCCACCAGTCGATTCATACAATGTTTACAAACTTCACTTACCGTTTTCACTTCGTTGCTGTTCGACTTCGCCGTGGACATCGCCTTTATCATCCTACTGGAGTTATCCAGAAGACACTTTTGAATACTCATAGCTCCCTTTTATTCACAAAACACTATTCACTAAATTATTCACATCGTTGGCACAATAAACACGTCACTTCAATGCACAAGAACACTAAGAGCCCATTTGGATATTGTAAACACAAGGTAATTCACATTGTAGTCGATGATTTGAGAAAAGCGCGGCGTGTTAGGTTATATCCATTGATTTGACGTAAGAAAGTTTCGGTGGCGCGATGCACTGGCGGCACGTGCTCACACGACCGACTGTAGCGCGCTACTGCGGTATTGTCGGATTCGGATTGTCGGCGGAGGGCAATCCGAGCGAGCCGAGCCGGTCGACCAATACCCGCTACTAGCAGCTCATGGGCCCGTTTCACGCTACTAAACAAAGATTCAGCCGCTGACTGCATTCATTCAGCATGCCACACCTTTGTCGAAAAGCCCATCGCGAATCTTTGCTTTGATCCCTTTTTGGGACAAAGTGACTGGGAATAGGTATTGGGATGGACATTAGTTAGAATCTAACGGCGCGATCACAAGCTTCACAAAATCTGTTTTTTGCATGAAATTCTAATAAGCACGCAATGTTATGCTTTCCATAGAACCAATTAATCAAAATCACAAATAAATTAATCCTACGTGGAAGGCTAACCTGCCGGCGTGGTTCTGCGATTTATTTTAAATCCAATTTGAAAATTATGACGAATTTTTGACAGTCAATAATGTTCTTCTTAGCATAAAAATAAACTTACCTCTACCTCCCCAAGAGAGCAAATGACTGACTCATCCGAACCACAAACAGTTTTTTAATGATACGAACTGGCCAGAAGATTTGTTATGGTGCAGAGAAAAAAGAAAAAGTTTCTGTGATCACATAAAAATAATATGGCGTTACCTTGATGCTTCAGAAAAAAACACCAACCACTAGTGTATGCGTGCAGCATAAACACTCATGTCATGCGTGGCCTTTTTTATTACACTACACACGATATATTCTGATATTACTTGCTAAGTAGGTGAACCTAACTTAAACTGTCCAAAACTTTTCGGCATTCCAGCCAGATGCTTACTGAAGTTATGGGATTTCGGCGTGTGAGCGTTTTTATGTTGTCGCAAAAGAGTCACTAGTATTTTATTTATCTGTGCTTATGGTTAGGTAGGTAGTTAGCATCTCAGATCCTATGATCTGAGGTTAGCATCGTGTAGAGTCAAAATTGAATATTGATAACCATTAGGGAGATTTGAAAATATTAAAAAACTTGAAAAAATCGAACTGCCTACTTTAGGAACGAACCTGCGAACTTTAGGGACATTCCGAAGCTAGGAACTTCATAGTCACGTTCACTTACTACTACACTTAGATTCCACTACAGAAGACAGGACACCACGTTTTTGCAGATGCCAAATAACTCATGGATTTTTATTAAACGCCATGTCCAGCATGTACCTATGATTTGCAAAACATTATTTAACATTCGAGAGACCCCTCCCAATGATTTTATTCTTTCAGAAATGACGCCGCTCAAGAATGACTCTATACTAGGGAATTCAAGCCGGTGGTGTTTGGCTAGATGTCCTAGGATGGATGAAAATCAACTTCTGCTTGAGACTGAATCGAGTCTGTATCTTTTTGAAATATTGCCGATCTTTTATGGTCGCAGAACATACGTCTTTCTATGTTCTTGATCGCAAGACCCATCCGATCAAGTGAACCAGGTACCAGGTACCAAAAGTACCAGGGCAACATAACATTAGGTGCGCTTCGACGAACAGTTTAGATGCGCTTTATAAGGTGCGCCTCAAAATAGGTGCTCTTGTAAGTGCTTGTTCACTCTCGCCTTGAAGATGCCCTGATCCTGATTATAGTGCTCGGGAAAGACATCAGCAGGCAGTCCCTACTTTTTCACAACGCCTGTAGAACTGTAGTTTAACTCGAGTTACGAACTGCGGTTTATTTGAACCTAATTCAATTAAGTTATTGACGGTCAAGGATAATTACTTCATTTGGAACGTCTTAAACATTATTGAGTTGTTAGCTTGTTAGTTACCTACCAACATTGTTGTGGTTACGATATTACGATCAAATTAATTATACTTATCTTATACTGACCTCCACGGTACAAAAATGATTATGAAAGTCAAACTGGCTTGTAAAAATATTACTATTGATTTCACAAAAAGGTTATGTAGACATCAAAAATAGGAATTTTTCTTTAGTTTTAGTTTCTCTAACCATGTTTTGTCATAAAATTAATCCGAAAGGAAACATTTAAGAAAAACTGCTACAAGGCAGCATTTTGCCAATATGGCGGCGCGAGCGGCAAACATACGAGGTCGCAAAGTTGACATTCGTAAAGAGCACATTGAAGTCTATAGAAATACCAATTTTCATTACTCCCGGAAAACTTTCCAGGTAAAGCCATTATTTTGTACCAAATGACTGGACTATAACAACAACAAGGAATTTGATGAATTTATTGAAAGACATTTTACACAATATTCTTCCTTCCTTCCTTTTCAACTGAAAGTGTCCACTGCAGGACAAAAGGTCTGGCCCAAACATTTCCAATTTTCTACAACGACCAGTTCTTTCTATATCCAGACGGTTCCGGCAAACTTCTTTCTTACCGACACACATTCTGAGTTCATTTTAATATTTTCTGTCAATTTTGGAATCTTGGAAATACCTTTTGTACTGAATTTTCAAGAGTTGCCAGTGTCTTCCACGAGTAAAGAAAAGATTCTTTTCACGTAAGAAGATGCAACATACCTATTTGGTACCTACCTACCGAGGTGATCTAGGTGACCCAGGGTAGGTCGCACATATAAACCTGTGTCTATGGTTCCGTATTGTTTGTCTAATCTACTTAGGTAGGTAATTACATAGACTGGCATGTGTAGGTAGGTACAATATTATGAACGCAAGAGCAGGCGACCGACTCAAACTAATTAGCATATTATCAATGGCCTACACTACAGCTGTTCTCTGACATTGGCATTGACAATCGACGTGATAAAAAGCGTTTACTTCACTTGTTTTTTTTTATTCTTGACACAATAAAGAAAATAAAATAACTTTACTCCTATGATATCGCACATAGACATAAAAATTAATCCATTAACAAGTTGTAGTAGTAGGTAAAGTAGTTAGGTAAGGTAGGTACCTACCTACCTATCTCATGGATCGATTTTACTATTTCTTACATCTCTAATCTCTATTCCTTTTACTTGATTGCACAAAGAGATATTTTTAGTGTTATTCAAGAATCAAGAGTATTGAACTTATTATTGAATGTGGCATTTTTATTTACCTACCTGCCCTTTTGCCCGAGTTGGGCACCTTTTCGACTAAGCGCTCTTAGCGAATAGCGACATCTATGGACATTTTTATTTTACAGTGCAGTTTAAGTTTAAAGGTGCCGCGATGCCGCACCGCTTTTAAAAGTATATCACAGTCCGCATCTTAGTTCGCCATTTAAAATATAGATGGCGCTGCCAATTTTCACACGTGCTAGTTAGTACACTGACGAACGATTCATTGCGAGGTTGTTTTGATTACGCTTTCCGTACGATGTTTAGGTTTATCACGTCGTTTGATAACTTCTATAAACCTAGCTAGACGGTCATCAATGATATCAGTCTTAAGGAAATACTGAACAGAAACGGACCTTTGAGCAGAACATTTATTTGGTAAGAATTTATTTCAATCATTCACTAAACGATCCTGCTGGATCAATTTTTTTTCGAGTTGACTTTATTTACCTAAGTTTAAATTGTTTGTTATCTCGCAATCTTTGTTAGGTATTAAATTGTACGAGCGATGGATGATAGGCCTAATGTCAACTTAAAAATAGACTTATTTTTAACCGGCTTCATTTGTTAGTTAGATAAAATTATATTGCATCACAAATTATTTAACCTACTCGTACCTACCTAAAGTACCTACCTACTTTACTTATTTGGTGTGAGGAAGATCATCAATTTAAAATCCCAACTTCCCAATCCCAACTAATATTATAAATGCGAAAGTAACTCTGTTTGTCTGTCTGTCTGTCTGTCTGTCTGTCTGTCTGTCTGTCTGTCTGTCTGTCTGTTACGCTTTCCCGCTTAAACCTCGCAACCGATTTTGATGAAATTTGGCATAGAGATAGTTTGAGTCCCGGGAAAGAACATAGGATAGTTTTTATCCCGGTTTTTGAAACAGGGACGCGCGCGATAAAGTTTTTCTGTGACAGACAAAATTCCACGCGGGCGAAGCCGCGGGCGGAAAGCTATATTCCTATAATGCTTTTGTTTAATTTTAGTATGGTAAGTGTGGCTTCATAGTGCTAACGTGCTCCACGATCTACGAATATGATGGAAGATGTAACAAACATTGCCATTGTAACATTTATTCTTACTTTGAAGGTCTTTGAATTGTATGACTAATTAAAATACATTATTTTAATAAAATAAACTGTGAACATGTGCCATAACCCTTAATTATTTAATATTTTCTCCTACCGAAGACACTAAGCTGTTTCACCGAGTTTGATTCCTATTAAGGTCAATTTATTAAAGACGTTGGAGATTGAATTGATCAAATCTCTTCTATTAAATAATAATAATAAATAAATAAATAATAAATATCTTTGGACAATCTCACACAGCGCCATCTAGCCCCAAAGTAAGCATTAATATGCTTGTGTTATGGGTGCTAGCTTAACGGATATACTACTTATATACTTTTTTTTTAAATACATACATATTATACATAGTAACACCCAGACCCGTCACAGAAATTAAAATTCATCATTTCAATTTCTGCCCGGCCGGGAATCGAACCCGGGACCTCTCGGCGTCGGCATAGTAGTCCGTTCTGAACCACTACACCAAACGGCCGACAAATTATTATTAGTACTCAGCTATTTACATTTGTAGTTATGATAGGATGTCTTTTCCAAGATATTAAGTACTAAATAAACTTAAACCTTACGGCTTGTCACAAGACACGCACAATGTTACAGGAAAACTAATTCAAAGTAAATTAACATTACAAAAGTATTAGGTAGGTTTACATTTCTGCAATTAACTGATATATTTAGTTGTTCTAAAGAATCATGCAAGCAAAACACTGGCTCTTTTTCTTTATTTCTGCTTAATTCTTATTCTGACTCTCACTGATGTCATCTAATCGTAAATACAACGACTGTTTAATTAATTTACAGAATTACAAAATGAGCAAAATCAAGCCCAACCCCGCAAAAATGCTGCTGCGCGACGAAATCGCTACTCGCATCGCCAGCCTCTCGACTGAAGAAAAGAAGAGACAGTCCAAAATTGTCTATGATAAAGTAAGGAAGAATTTCTTTCACAGTTTCTCGACGTGGTAAAAAAACTTAAGCAATGTGTCATAAACATATAAAAAGACTTGCATATTTTGCAGATCTGTGGCACTTCCTCAATTCGAACTTACATATTTTAATCACGTATTTCTCGCATTCTGTAAATTCTTGTTTTCCTCAATGACAATCAATAAATATTTTGCTCTACTTCGTCTACTTATAGCCAACGGAAAAAACCATCATAGACAACAAGCAAATCTTGGAAGTATGCGACAGTAGCCTAATGGTGTTTCAGAATGTTGACTGCCGATTACCCCCGGGTAATTTGGACCCTATCGCCGCTGGATTGTGGTGGACTCACTTGTAACCGGCATTTACAGGATTTAGCAAGCTCAGGGTTAACAGGACTAATTACTAATTCTTTAAAAATAACCCATTCCAGTTAATCAACCACCCGTACTACAAGTCATCCAAACGGATCTCTCTCTTCATGAGCACCGACCAGGAGATTGATACAGCACCCATCATCGACCACATCAGGGGCAGAGGAGCTGCTGCCTTCATCCCCCAGTACGCTGGTGGGGTGATGAAGATGCTGCGAATGGAGACAGGGGACGAGCAGTCCATGCCTCTGACCAGACACGGGATACAGCAGCATGGAAAGGATCAACCCAGAGATGACGCTTTGGAAACAGGTAAAGTGCTAAATTGGTCGTGAAATTCATCAGAGGGAGAGGAGCTGCTGCCTTCGTGCCCCAGTATGCGGGAGGGGTGATGAAGATGCTGCGAATGGAGACAGGAGACGAGCAGTTAATGCATCTGACCAGACACGGGATAAAGCAGCATGGAAAGGATCAACCCAGAGATGACGCTTTGGAAACAGGTAAAAAGCACAAATGGTTGTGAAAACCTCGTTGCTAAGTATTAAGAGTTAAGCAATCACGAAATGGTTGTTTGGTCCATGAAAGTTCCCATTTCACTCATATTAGATCAATCAAATGAGGGTTTTACGTTGTGTACGGAACAAGACCGATTTACCACATTATAATTTAATAAGCTGACAATTTCTTTTTCAAACTGCGGAATATCTCTGAAAATTACGGAAAGTATCCCAAGCACGTTATCCTCTAACTACTGACCCGTTTTCCTTCACCCTGTATACCAATTTAAGAAAGCCATTATCACATTTAACGATTTATGTATATGTAGAGTGGTCTTTACCTCACTAAAATAGTGGGGAAGGCTGAAAAACTCAACTTCGATAAGCGTTTCTTCGACATACAACGATTTAAAAGATAGCGACATCGACATCTTTCATGATTGCGTGCACTCATTTAAGAAGAAATGTTTGGATAAGTGGAATGTAATTTAACTATTAATCTAATTTAACATAATATTTTAGTATTGTACTTTCGGTCGTCAAGTTTTTATTTTGTATGTAAGCTGTATTTACCTATAAAGACACATCTTTCGGTCTTGTCATCATTGCATGCATTACTTGTTTGTGTAAAGTTGTGTTGTTGGTAGATCTTTGTCAATAAATAAATAAATTACGTTCCGACACCATTTATCATGACTTTATTCAGACACGATGTTACTCGGACAAAGGTGAAAAATGGGGTGATAACAACATATTATTACACATATTAACAGGTGGTCTGGACCTAGTGATCACACCAGGCGTAGCGTTCTCCCGTTCAGGAGAGAGGCTCGGTCATGGCGGTGGATACTACGACAAGTTCCTCACTGGTCTGCGAAGCCACCCTGAAACTGCACCCAAGGTAAAATAAGCTTTAAATATTAGAAGATAAAAGATACTCTTCAAATCCCTNCGCAAAACATATGTAGTTCGCCCTCTTCCGTTTCCCGCAATTTATCGTACTTCCTTTGGATTTTAATCTCCGCCAATTGGTCGAGCCTGCCGAGCCAAATCTTTATTTCTTGGGCTTCAGGCGCATCCAGTTCCTGGTCCCAATCAATTTCTGACTTCCACACATCTTTTAATATAATCCTTCCAGTCAGTATGTGCGGACTAATTAGTCCCAGTGGGTCATAGAGAGACATTACCAGACTTAGTGTTTGTCGCTTGGTTGGTATCTTCATCCCGTCCTTGATCTCGGCTGGCACCCGTGCCATCCTTGTGTTGAACCCTATCTGGTCTGTAGCAGGGTGCCAGATCATGCCCAGTGTTTTGTCGGGGGCCTCTGGTCTATTTGTTAAGATGACATCCTCTTCTCGAGCTAGCTTTTCGACCGGCAATGTTTTTAGCACTCCTGTGGCATTGCTGCTCCAACACCTGAGGTTGAAACCCGCTCTTTCGTGTACTGAGTTGACTTCTTCAGCGACTTCACTCGCCTCTTCTTCTGTTTTAATAGAAATGTAAATATAGCATCTAGTAATGTAAATAGTGCTTTGTATAAATTAAATGATTATTACAAAAATAAATTAAAATTAGATATTAATCCTAACAAAAGTTCAGTGTTAGTATTTGGAGATAGCTCTCCGGTAAATATTGTATATAATTGTATGAAAATTCCACAAGAAAAGGAGAAAAAGTTTCTTGGTGTTATCGTTGATGTGAAACTTCAATTTAGAAGTCATATAGATTATATCTGCCGCAACGCTATGAAGGGTATTAATATAATGAGATCTCTTGCTGGTATATCTTGGGGATCAGACCCTAAAATTTTAAATATGTTGTATAAAAGTTTAGTTCGAAGTCATTTTGACTACAGTTGTCTTGCCTATTTTCATGCGAATAGTGTAGTATTAAGAAGATTGGATGTAATTCAAAATATGGCTTTGCGAATAATTAGTGGTGCAATGCGCACTACACCCATTAACTCTTTGGAAGTAGAAACATGTATAGAACCATTGTTTCTGCGTAGACTTTACTTATCAGAAAAGTTTTGCTCAAAAATTTTAGCTNGCACAAAAGGCGAGAACATTGCAAACATATGGAATTGCAACACCCCGACACTCGTGTACTGTGGCGGCGTAGCATAGGTTGGCACCTGGGGCGACCCCCTCCCCCCTCCCCACCCCTCATAAGACCATAAGTTGGGTGTTCATATTGAGGGGGGCTAAGGTACCCCATAATGATTTGGTGTCTCCCAGAATTTTCGGGTACCGATTTGAAGACGAAAGATGTTAGTACTAAGTCATGAGCTATATGATGACACGAATCGCACGCACCCCCTTATCATGACATATCAGATGCGACGTCCTTGTCATGCAGATGCACCTGTGGGTACTAATCTGCGCGACTGAGTTGTCACTCCGTTGTCACCCCCTGATGCTTGGCACCCGGGGCGGACCCACCCCCCCTTTCGCCCCTCCCCCCACTGTCCGCTGTGTACACTGTCATTCTGTGTAGTTTAGGCAGACAAATACTGCATGCCCTTCGCTTGGCTTGACTTGTTTCAGGATGGAACAGACGGTCCATCGTTTGAACCTTGACGAGGTCCAAAAGGTTCAAACGATGGACGAACTGTTCATAATAATTTATTCTTTGATGAATTCGTGGGCTGAAGTTATCGTTTCTTATTCTTTTCTGCCATTTTGCACTAAAAATAAAAAATAGAGTGTAAAAGTTTTTGTATGACAACTAGGGACATGTAGCCTCACAGGCTACGATCGATTTTCTAATTCGTATAACTTACGTGCAAAACAACCGATAATACGTTAAAACAGATTTCATATAATTTAGCTTTTTCAACGAGAATCTAATTTTGGTGAGTCAATTTTGGTGTTTTTGGTGGTGCACCAAAGCATTTTTAACCGACTTAACTCCGTCAATTGTGAACCGATTTTCAAAATTCTTTTTTTGTTCTATAGGGTACACTTATGTGGTGGTCCCATTGTCACCAAGTCAGGATCTGATGATGGGATCCTAGGGAAATCGAGAGTAAACCTCAAATTTTGTAGGAATGCAATACGTTTTCTAAAGTTATTCAAGTAGTCATCATCTAATGTTGATGAGGTGATGATGGAAGGTAAAACTCCTTAACGCTTAGGAGTTGGAGGATAATTCTTTAAATATTTTAGGTAGGTATGTACATACAGTTGTATTATTTCAGGTATTTAAGATGAGCTGATGATGAAAGGTCAAACAACATAAGTTAGGAGTTAGATGATACTCAATACTCATTTGTTGATACATACATTGACACATGATACATTGATACTTTTTAGTTGCCGATATTTTAAGTAGGGAGCCTGTATTTTGCTAGAAAGATTATTTACACTTGGATTGTGATTAAGAATATAATTTTCCATTACAAAATGGAAAATTATAGTCTTAATCACATTAAACATAGGTACTGTTCCTCTTCAGTGACAATAACAAGGACTAATCAACTAAAAAGCATGAAAAAAAATAATTTTAACAAAAAAATTAAAACCGACGCCAACAATCACTTAAAAGTAGAAAATAAGTACGTCGTTATTTATTTATTAGGACAATATACCATGATTAATATTTTTGGAGTCGGTGCTGGTAAATTTAAAACCATTTCTTGAGCTTGGCACTAAGATATGACCGACTGATAGCATATTTTCTAATTTTGGTGCTTTAATATAAATTTTGGTGTTCTCTTAATTTTGGTGTAGGGAAAATCTAAAAAACTACTGGACAAAATTTAATGTCTTAATCATTTTAGAAACAGTATAAGTTTCCAATAAATTTGATCTATAATTAAAGAATAAAAATACACAAACAACAATTTCCACCAAAATTAGGCAAAATTATGCACTTGTTGAAATTCACCCTCCTAACACCGTCCTTCCAAATGACCTCAATTATGCGCTATGCGCTAACCTAAGCCCGTGTCTTCAATGTAGTGAATCGCTAATCGCGAACGATCCTCCTGCAGTGGAGACGAAATGACCTCATAATAACTCCTAAGTACGTCGTCTCTTGAACCTGAATCCATGTCGTCATCATCATCATTTCAGTCATAAGATAACCAGTGCTGAACATAGGCCATTGATTTCCTGATTAGCCGGTAGGTAGCCTGCATCCAGCGCCTTCCTGCTACCTTTATGAGGTTGTCTGTCCTCCTTGTAGGTTATGCTACGCTGCGTAATATCAGAGAAGGTTATCTTCATAGAAACGCACCGAGCGCGGTTTGTATGCGACGCGCACGCACACACTGACAAAATTCGGCGCAACTCCCCATTAATCCACGCTAAATTTTGTCAGTGTGTGCGTGCGCGCCGCATACGTATTGGTGCGCTCACATACAAACCGCGCTCGGTGCGTTTCTATGAAGATAACCTACTCCTTTGTATTACTCTGGTAATATTCCTTGTGCTCACTGCAGGTAATCGCTAATCGCCGCTGCCTCGCGGCCAATCCAAAGGGCACGCAGTGATAATGGTTATGGCCAAAGTTGTCCGTTTCACTGCGTGTTCGCGCGACGTCGCGACAATTTGTCGCTGACGACTGTTGCCCGATCGGGTGTTATTGCGCGCGTCAATTGCTCCCTCCAACTTGAAGCAAATTATTCCCGAAGGAAGATAGTGCTGTAAAAACTTTTGGACATTTTGACCAAGTAGTAAAAAAGATAATTTGTTTGTTTATGGCAGCTCTCCAAGTTTGTGGGTCATGAATTCACGAATCATCACGGATTGGTAAGTTTGAGAAAGTTTTGTTAACGCATAATAAAATTGTGAATTGTTAGCACTCAACATTCTTCAAAACAAAATGTTTTTGGTTAAAGCCATCTTTGTATTGCGACTTCTAGTCAATCAATCCATCCTCTCTTCGTCCTTTTATTAATTTGATTAAATTAACCATACCGCCACTAAAACCAAATTAAAGCAAACATCTCAAGAGCTTACATTCCTAGTTTGTAATTGTACCGTACTCAAAGCAAAAGAATTACCTACATACCTAGCTCACAAAAGAATTCTCCCGACGCAGTGAGAAATTAATATTATACAAATTCAACATGACGTCTCAGCACAATTACGACTTTTGCCTCTATACAGTCAAGTACGTCAAGATTGCTACACAATAGTGACTTCTATTGTGTATGGCATAAAGAAAGGTAAATCTGAACTTCCTTGGCAGTCTGGAATACAATATGCACAACAAATTAAAAGTTCAGGAATTTCAATTTTAATGAAAAGAAAAAGAGTATGGTATGTCATAATGTTTCGATTTTGGTTGGTAACTAACAAAATGTTTTGCAATGAAATGTCAATCTGGTTAAGGTAAATACTAAGGCTGAGTTACACCACCAAACTTTGATGGTTACTATAGCTATAACCGGTGCTTTTTGTATGGAGTTTGACAGATTTTTGACGTTTGTCAAACAAAGTTAAAGTAAATTGGTGCAACCCAGCCTAACTCTACAGTGCTATTTGATTTAGCTATTCATACAAAGTTATTTAATTTTTATCACCAACTCAAATGTATGGAATTTGACAAAAGACAATTTTATTTTTACAAAGTAAACAAGTCTAGCCTTTTATTTTATTCATATCACTAACAAGCGCAGTGCATCACTAAATTGAAAAACTAGATAACAGGAACAAAAGGACGCTACAGTAACGAGCAAAAATAGTGGAGAAGTCGTCAAATCAAACGCCATGGAAACAAACAACTATCGAGAAGAGAGTGCTTTGAAGAGGGCGCCCTCGTCGCATCTGCATTGTTGGCGCTTTTTTCTCTCGCTTCCTTAATTTCCCCCCCGGGGAGTGCACTGCTGGGTAAGGACTTGGCTATGGTATCGTGAATCGAGATATTAACAAAATACTGAACATTTTATTGCATCCGTACTTGAAATTAGAACATTTTGGGCCCTGTAGGGC